TAAATATGTTGCGGTTGTTTATTTCTACACGGCTATAGAAGTCCTTTGTTTATTTGCTGTGTTATTATTTAGTAGGTTTTGCAGTGAAATTCCTTTTCATTCATTCAAACTGAGATTAAAGAACGCACAGGAACTAACTGACTCTAACCAAAAAACTCGAAATACTAAATTTTTGTATTTGCATTGCGAAGAGTGAACTTATAAATTTCAATATGATTATTTCAGTTTCCAGTAGCTATTTATGGATGGCGTTGTAGATTGAATGAACTACTTAATTCTGCTATGCAATCGTTAACCGACGATGTTGTTGCGACGCAGCAAAGGAAAGGCAACCGCTCACAAGGAAGGCGTGGTTGGTAAGTATGTGAAAAAGGAAACACCGCCTGAAATAGTCTCAACGATGCACAGCAACCATTCGCAACCGGATCACTACCATGCAAGATGAGAACAATCTCAATTGCCACCTACAACAGCAACTATGCGATCGGTATCACAGACCCATCAAAAACATTATGCCGTTACCGGGTTTTACGCACCAGCAACTGTAGCAGAATCAACCACACTACATCCCCATTTTTATTCGAGCAATAATCTGGATGTTAGTTGTAATGGTCACGGTCATACTACAGCTAGCAACAACAGCAATAGTAACAACAGCAACTACATATAAACAAGTCAATATTGAACAGATAGACCGTATGCGTCGCCAGCAATCGTCACCTTTGTTGCAGCCAGATAATTCGGCATATGGCCCAACAATTACGTCTTAGAATCGGGGCTTAATGAGTATGCTGTCAAATGAACAGCTGATAAATGTAAACAAATGAAGTTGCAATAAATAGAGATAGTTGCGCCGATAATGTTTCAAATTCAACGCTGAGCTGCCGCTGTGTTGAAAAAATCTTTCAATGTTACAATGAATTAAAAAGTGTTTAATTATAAAGCTAACATCTTAAAAAATATATATTTAGAAACGTAGTATTATTATAAAATTTTTTAGTTACTTCATAACATCAGTAATATAAAATATAGTAAATTTGTTTGCAACTGCCTCCTGAAAAAGCGGCGTTAAATTTAAAATAAACGGCGTAAGTCTGTGCGATCAGCTGTTCATGCTAAGCCCAACACGTAGAGTTCTGGTAGCAAAACAATTTTGCGATGGATAAAATGGCGGAATGTTGCCAACTGTTGGAGTAAGCGGAACGACTCGACTGTGCGTTTCTAAGGCAAATAGCCAACGGTTAGGCAACAGCTACGTCATGATTCAATAATACAAGGTTAGATCATGATTCAATAATACAAGGTTAGATAATTATTGACAGCTGCGGTTTGACACTCCCTTACAAAAGGTTGCATTTGCGAAGGACAGAGAAAGGGCAAGAATGCAATCCCTTGTTGCGAAAATGGTAGTAGAAAAGTACGCAAAGTAGGCAATTAGTAGTGAAATTCCTTTTGTAAATTCTAAAGTATTTGCAGGAAATCTGGCATTTTAAACGAAATGTTGAACGTAATATTTATAAATCTACGTTAATTACGTAATTTATATGCTATTTAGCTGTATAAAAACTGCAAAATGACTCAAAATTAAAATAAGACTACTATGAGATTGATATAAACATCCAATGCTTATGTTTTCATCAGTTAAATATGCTTCATATGCATATACAAATAAACATATTGCACAAAAGCTTATACTTTTATTTCACACCAAAGCTACACTGTTTCCATGTAAATTTGCAAAGAAGCAACACGGTGCCACTGCTAAGGGAGCGGTGCGAGAGAGACAACTGTCAATTTATCGAACCTTGTATTATTGAATCATGCAGCTACGTCTTATGAATGCGCGTAAATACAGAACGTTCAAAACTTGCATATTATCAGGCAAAATCGCTTTTCCTTGCCCTTTATAATTAAAAGTAGAAAACGCAAAAAAATATGGCAATATCAAATATGGAAACAGGGAAAGCTAAATTGTGGACATTATTAATCGAATATAATCTATATCTTAAGCAGACAAAAAAGTAATTTCTCTTATTTCCAATAGGCATTAACTGTGGTTAAGGTTTGGTGGAAATGTACTCTTACGGTGGAATCAGATGCACTAAGGTCCTCACCTCTGGACCATTTCAATTAATGTAGTTCCTGAAACGACATTTCCGAGAGAGCGGGCGCGCGGGCGTGCTGGAGAAAACTATATCGTTCATATACCATGGCGTATGAGTTATCTATAAACATTAATGTTTAGTCCGGTTACGCTTTTACGGAAATAAAACTAGTAGAGTCTTGGTTTACGCAACTAACTAAATAAAAAGAAAATTCTTAAAATTTTCCGCAGACATTTTGGAGGGGGCGATGTTTGAACCCCCAAAACCCCCACCTGCGTTCGCCCCTGTTAGTAACCATACGTGGTAGTCAAATCTGCATCTCATCACAATTTTTTACAGTGGAATTTCAATATTTCGGTAAAAAATGCAATTATATTAATTGAAATATTATATGTATATACATAAATCGACTTCAAACATAATGCCTGTCTTTAGGGACCTTTAGCACAATTTAATGAGACATTTTTTCGTAGACCATTTTAACCTCTTAACTCTCATCTGCATGGGACTTGTTGTTTCATAAAATTTTATTTAAAAAGGTAGTTAGAGGGCTAAAATGTTCTTCAGAAACTTTACTACGCTCATCGATGGTGAAAAACTCCCACAGTCGAGTGAAACATATGTACGCAAAGTTGGAATGGAGCCAATGCAGTGAACAAACTAACACGCGATTTTTACGATGTGAAGTAAGTCCAAAAAATTTATTTTTCATTATTACAGGGGTCACCAACGGTGGTAACCTCCTACGTATTAAAGTATAAGCGTAAATCGAAGGAATTTACTACTACTACTTTTTAACAAAATACTATAATTAACATTAAATCAGTTTGTGCGACGTTTTTTTGATGTTGGTGTTTTGAAATCATCGTCACTATTGCCTTCTTCGTACTGCTCTTGGAACATATCCTTTAACCACCAACAAATTTCAGCCAATACCGCGTCTGGTGTTTTTTCCCCTCTACACCTGTAAGTCAATAAGTACTTAAATACAATTATTTAATGCATTGTACATACATACACATATGTATGTATGTATAATTGAAAACTTTAAAAATTTACTTACATACATACACAAATCGAATTCCTCGAAAGAGTCTGCGCATTCCCAAATTACCCTCGAATAGGAGGGCTCCCGAGGGTTGGGGACCGTGATATTACCATCGAGATCGGATAAAACAATGCGCTTAAACGTTTTTCGAAGAGCGTAACAGTGGATAATTACTCTCAAAAGCATGAAATTTAAATTCATATGTTTAATACATTTGTATGTGTGTATGTAATAATGTGAGTTCCAGCCAGTGCTGCCAACTGCTTTCGTGCAAAAAAATCCAGATTTTTATACAAACCCACTAGAAAAAAGCTAAATTCCATAAAACAAAAAAATAATAACTAAATAGGTCCATATCAATATAATTCGAAGCAATTCATTTGAAACATTACTTGAAATTAAAAT